CCCGGCGGCTTTGCTCCCCAGCTCCCGACCAGTAGACCAGGGAGATGGGGAGCAAAGCCTCGGAGCACTCCCGCAGCGGGACAGCCCAGGGCTGTCCCGCTGCGGGTGTGCTCCAAGGCTTTGCTCCCCGTCTCCCTGGTCTGCCTGGGCGGGGGTGCAGCTAGTGCCCCCCCCCAGCAGCCCAGGCTTTTCTTGCCTACCCCTGGGGTAGAGAAGCTGGGGGCTGCCGGGTTGGTCCCGCAGCGCCACTCCGGACCAACCCAGCAGCACCCCAGCTGCTCTGCCCCAGGCTTCCTGGAATCAGCCGCTGATCAGTTTCAGCAGCAGGTGACTTGGGGACGCCTGGGTTTCTTTAGTTGAATCTGTATGTAAGTCAGAACTGGTGTCCAGATTCAGCCGCGGTTGAAACTGATCAGTTTCAGCAGCGGCTGACTCCAGTTCCAACTTATATACAGATTCAACTTAAGAACAAACCTACAGTCCCTATCTTGTACGTAACCCGGGGACTTCCTGTACTGCGGCAAATAGGGAAAATAGCACTGCCTGTGGAATGCCTGCTTAGTGTATAAACAGAGTAGGGCTGTCAAGCCAGCACCTGCCATGAGCTCTAAATACAATAGAACTCCCAGTGAAGTCAATGGGAGTATTACTTCTAACTTTAATGGGGTTGGATCAAGCCTTAGGACAAGAGGGAGGGAAAGGCAGTGTTCCTTTAAAACGCAGGATGTAAAGATTCAGTCCTCCATCATATTCGGCTGTATTTTTTTCCAAGAGTTTAACAGGAATAAATATTTATGTAGGTGCTACACAATTATGCCTTGGGGAAATGTTTGATGAATTACAATAAACTGCATTCCAGGCAAATTATAATTATTGCCCAGGAGAGCAAACACCAAGAAATTGTTTCCTCTGTCATTTCTGGGAATCGGGAGAGTACTATGCACCTGACTAGGGGGACATAAACCAGAGGCGTTACAGATTCATACCAACATTTTGAGACTTTACAGTTTGGTGCAGAAGTCAGCTAGGAGCTGGGAAAGCAGGACTCTATGGCTTAGTAATTATGGCTACCTGCCATACAGGAAACATGGGATTGGAAGCTCTCTACAGGTTCAAAATCTCAGACCTAGATCTTGGATATTAAGAGCCTAAGTATCTTTGTAGAGCTGAGCCTTACTTTAGATACACACCAATCTAAAAGAGCAGATTTTGCCTTCTTGTACCACTTGTGAGGCTGGAGCCAAGAGCACTTGTGAGGTTGGACCCAAGAACAGCACAATACTGCCAAACCCAGGGGTTCCAAAATTATGAGTCAAGCTACAAAAATCCTGAGACATAAAAAATTATGAGAGATATCAATAATAAATATGAGTGTATTTAGTTTGCTTTATGCTATAGAGATCATTTAAAGTTCTCATTTGCAAGATCTTCTCTGTAACCAGAAGTGCTACAAACTTACTTTTGTACCAGTCACAACTGAGATTCTCAGGTAATATCCTGATTCCAGCTGTTGGAGTATGAGGAGAATATCAAATGTCATGAGACTTTAGCAGGGCTGCAGTGATGTATTTCAAACAGAAGAGAGATGGAGCTGGATGGTTCACCAGAACACTTACAGTGATGCAGTAGTGACATTGGGCTTGATTCTGAATTCACTTACAGGCTCTGTCTAAATTACATCCCTCTTTCGAAAGGGGGATGTAAATTAGACAGATCGAAATTGCAAATGAACCCGGGATATGAATTTCCCACACTTCATTTGCATAATGGCAACTGCGCATTCTTTCAAAAATGGTTATTTCAAAAGTGAAACCGCCATCTGGACGCAGTTCTTTCGGGAAAAAAACCCTTTTTAGAAAGATCCTGTACTCCTTATTTTTTGTACAAGAGTACAGGATCTTTTGAAAAAGGGTTTTTTTTTCTGAAAGAACCGTGTCTAGACTGCAGTTTCACTTTAGAAATACCTGTTTTCGAAAGAATGCATGGCTGCCATTATGCAAATGAAGCATGGGAAATTCAAATCTCGGCTTCATTTGCAATTTCGATCTGTCTAATTTACATCCATCTTTCGAAAGCGGGATGTAGTTTAGATATGCCTACACTGATGAAAATCAACAGCAACTCACCCAGACATAATGGGATTTCACCAATGTAAAAGTGATATAAATGCAGACGAAATATCCCTAGCTCAAGAGCCCCACTGTAATTTCTGTTAACTTTCTATTATTTATTTAGCCTCCTTATGAGTATACCCATTTTAGGAATAATGTTTCCCATAATTTAAAGACTCTTCAAGGAAACTGGACTTTGTCCTCAATATTTCCCCCCATAATTATTGGTTCTTTACTAGTGTACAGTGAGCCTGAACCAGATCTCCTTTCTTTGCAGTTTAGTTTTACACAACTGGAATTCCAGTCAGAATCCAAACCAGTATATTTCAGCAATTACATAAGAAAAAGAGTGGCGATCCTGCGCTACAAAACTAAGTTCAAGAGCTGGATTTCCAACACCCGAAAGCTGGGTATGTGTTTAGATTCAGGAATTTTGTTTGTCTTATTATATAGATAGGACAGTCAGACACTGGGCCTCTCTTAGGGCATGTCTACACTAGGAAGAAGATCG